CGATGTCACCCTGTTTATTTAACCTATATGCAGAATAGCGCAATATGGCCTGGCGCAATATGGTTCATGGGGTCACGAAGAGTCGGACACAACTTAACGACTGAACAACAACAAGGCAAGATAGGGATGGGCAATGGGGAGAGAATGTTTTATACTTGTTTGTACCAGCTCAAGGAGGGGCGGAGAGCAGTATATAAGGGAAAGTCAGAGAGGCTTTAGAAATAGGGATTGATACCATACTGGAGTTCCAAAATGGCTGTGTAATAAATGTCAGTATTGGAAGGAAAGATTACAGATAGTCCTCACTTACTGACTGTCTTGTGCAGCAACTATTGGAAGTTACGATGGTGCTAAAAAAAAACTTTGTGACCCATCCTCAAATTTACTACTGTCTCAGCTTCCCACAGTCACATGATTGCCATTCTCGTGCTTCATAACCGGCTTGCAACAAGCAGAGTTAATACAGAAAGCAGAAGTAAAACTCTAAGTCATGGTCACATGATTGTCTGCTTAGCGACCATGTCGCTTAACAACCTGGTTGTTGGTCCCAATTGTGGTTGCTAAGTGAGGACTACCTGTAATAGGTTTATTCTACTATTTCATAGAGATTCAGCATTCAGAAAAAAACTGCAAGGAATGTCTTAATATCTGGGCAGATTTGTTGAGGTTACTAGATATGTACAGGTCATGTGCAATTTAGGTCTTCAACATTAGTCATCAGTCCCTTGATTGGGCTTAGAAATGGTTAGCCAGTGTATTGTTTCAGAATTGGCTAGAATCAGTCTACTGATTCTTAACTCTACTTAACTAGTTGATGTATTTTTAATTGAAGTTTCTGAGTAGTATTAAGGAAGGCCCCTTTTGTAATGAATTATTACAGTGGTCAAAACTGGACATTAAAAATGATTAGGCCAACTTTGTCTAGGAAAGGGTGCAGTTTCGTTCATCAACCAGTAATGATGAAAACATTATGGGCCATAGAAACAACGTGGAGTTCAGGGCTTGATCTCATTGCATCTCGTTTCAAACCTGATTTGAATGACATCCCTAACTTAGTTAAAAAAACCCCATCCTTAAATCTTATCTTGTTGGTTGTTGACAATACACAGTAAGACAAAACAAGCTAGTAGAACCTATCAGTAAAATCTGACTTGTTTCCTTGATTCATCTAGTGTACTCCAAAGAAGTGACTTCTGAGAATTAAAAGTGTGATCATAGATAGGTGAGCGTTTTTGTAAAAAAATGCTAATGGAATACCCACCCTGCAGACCAGTGCATTACATGCTATAATATTACCAGGATATTTTAAGCTTCTGGTACACATAACAGTTGTTAAACAGTTATTCAGTAGCGATAGTGATTTAGTATGGAATAGTAATATAAATTTGGGGAAAAGTTACACAATGGAAGTAAATAGTATTGTTCCATTGTTGATACGCAGGCTAAGCATATGAAGGATATAATATGAAGAAAAGCTATTTTTAAAAGAAAATTATTAAGAATAGCAAAGAATATAGTCACATGGTAAATACTTGTAATGCTGAAAAGGCAGCTATTACTGTAAGTGACTTGTCCTACTCCTTTATTCAGTAATAGTAGAAGAAATTAATTACAATATCCTGTCAGTTATTTTCTCTGCCTATGGTACATTGTCCAGATACACCACAATGGTCCGTTGGAAAATCTGTCATCGCCTATTTATTTTAATAGGGTTCCACTGTAGTGCTACATGCAGAATAAAAATCCATTGTATCATTGCATATCCCTTGAATCAGTCTCTCTCTCTCCAACAATACCCTTCTTCTATTTTATGGTTCAACATCTGTAATATGAAAGAAAACTATCAGAACTGGGTCAGGTCATTTGAAGATTAGAAATGGGTTGCCATCAGTGTGACACTTTATGAGAAACTTTTCTCTTTGACATTTTGGGAATATTTTTCCCATTCTGGTTTTTGATTAGGTAAGAAAAAGGCATAAATAGGGAGATTGCAATAGCTGTATTTTTTAGAAACAAATATAAAGTCAAGGTTGCGTCATCTTCTTTCATTTTTCTCCACATCAATCCTGTGAGGTAGGTTGGGCTGTGACTGACCCAGTGTCACCCAGTGAGCTTCCATGGCTCAAATGGAATTGAATCTGGGTCTTCCTGACCTTACTCTAGTACCTAACCCATTACAATAGTATTCATAGAATGGACAACACACACACATACATTTAACTATTATTTTAAATTAAAGATTTATGTTATTTTTATGCCTGTGAGGTCTGATGTAAACAACAACAAAACTGAGAAGAGTATTTCTAGAGCAAACAGCATGAATTGCCTTAAAATTGAGAATGTGTTTATCTATTATCTAAAGTATTTATACCCTGCTCTAAAGTTGAAAAACCTCCCAGAGTGGTTTACATACAATCAATGAAAACAAGACAGTTTCTGCCCCCAGGTTTACAGTCTAAATGACACTACATCAAAACAAAAGAAAACAGAGAGATGGGAAAGGGAAAAAAGAAAAAGAAGTAAAGACCAGATTTAAAGTTAAATAGTAGAAAATCTGGAATGAAGCCATTATGTTTGCACATAAATTGCACAATAATCATTGAGGGCAATTCCTGCATATGCAGTTGTACGCAATCCTTTCTGAAGTGTGATAACTTAGTAAGCGCATACTTATAGTTCTAGATATTCAGAAACACAGTGTTGGACTTGACAGCAGTCTATGACAATGTAAAGTCCACCTTTTGACGGTGCCATTTCAGGAAGGCTCCCTTCACCATTCTAATACCATGGAGCATGTTCAGTTTTTTACTTTTGTGATTGCAACTTTGATTTTATTGTCTAAGTCTGGATAGATTTATTTATTTAGGAATGCAGGCAGGCAAAACTCAGGGCTTCCCCAAACATACTGAATCTGGTGGATACATAAAGACAGGATCTTGGAGAATGCATTTATTTTTAGTACAATCTATACTTTTTCAAATCTGGCTGAAATTTCATGTGGTTTCTGCTATCTCACCCCAAATATGTGCATAAAATTGTCAAAGTCATGTTTACATTTTATAATTATTTTAATTTAATTTGGAGTTTTGTGAGGACTTCTGGAGAGGGGCTGTGTGGTTTGGGGAGCCTCTGTTGTTAACATACGATATGTACAATTGTCAGAAATTACAGGAATTCTAATTTGCCAGGTGATGGATGTATAAAATTTTCAATATATAGTGCTTTAGTTTGATCAATACTAAATATTCTTTCTTGGGATTTAGATGTGACCCACTCCATTATGAAAATAATCCCTGATTCCATAATCAGGTAAATGCAAAACTGCAGCATCCATTGTGGGTCAATAGTATAAATAGAAGCTGCATAGCCCAGAAAATTAGGTTTATATCCGTAAATTCACTGTGGGATGATGAAGAATTACAAGGTTGCAATTGAGCATTTGTCAAATTAGTAATTCCCAGAACTGTGAGTTATTGACAGAGAACTGAATAAATACAAATGCAGAGCAGATCATTGAAGATGGTTTGAATTTAAGAAGTGGTTATTTTAATTTAAATAGATGTATAAGAACTCTCATCCAATTGCGAGATTGACCTGCATGCCAGGTGCTTATTTTGAGTGACCTACCTCAAGTCTTTTCTTCTGTCTTTCAGATCTTTACCTGTTGGATGTCTGGGGCCAGAGAGTCCTTCAAAAAGAGGAATGGTAATCTGAGCATCCTTAAAAAGTCGACCATTCTCTGAAGTAAGTGGTGTGTGTAGCCACCTTATTGGTAGGGTCTAGTGCAGTGTGGTCCAAACTTGGCCACTTTAAGATGAGTGGACTTCAACTCCCAGAATTCCCCAGCTGGGAAATTGGCTGGCTGGGAAA